GGAGGGTCCAGATTGATCACCTTAATGGACTTTTTCCATCATTTCTAAAAACGATGACAATTTTTGTCATTGTTGATCATTTTTCAGTAATTTTTGGACAAATTGTGAGTCATTTAGGGTAGTTTCGGCTAATTCTGGATGATTTTTATGTCATTTTGAACGGCTTTTGAGTCATTAAAATAATGTTTTTGACCTTAACTGTCCAAAATTTGACAGAAAATGATCCAAAATGTGTCCAAAACTGACATAAAGTCGCCCTAAACAACTTAAAATTGTTCAAAATTAACAAAAATTGACCCCAAATTACTTTAAAGTACTCAAACTGATCCAAAATGACTAAAAAATGTCCTAAATTAGTCACAAAAAAAAAAAAGAACTTAATGAACCAAAAGTTGACAGAAAATTATCTAAACCTTGTCACAAACTGACATAAAATTGTCCTAAAATGATCTTGGACACGTTCTGAGTCATTTTGAATAATGTTGGATGTGTTTTCAGTCATTTGATAGCTTTTGAATAATTTTGGATCATTTAAAAAACTAATGATAATAAATTATGCATTTTGAGTAATTTATGGAGTAAAGTTTGAGTCATTCTGGACAGTTTTTGAATGATCTTGGACACATTTTTTGATCATTTTGGACAAATTTTCCAAAATTCGTCCCCGTTTTTAGTCACTTTACTCAGATGTGTTCTTCCTCCTAAATGTCATGTGTCTATCTGCTGTTCTGATGAAGTTCTGAGGCTCAGAAATGATGGAAAAAGTCCATTAAAGTGATCAATCTGGACCCTCCTCTGTGGACTTCAAGGACCTGGACCTCTGGAACATTCACAGTCTGAAGGTAGAACTCTGGTCAGTAGATGAAGATGCTGCAGAACCAGAACCAGCTGGTCGTTTAAAGACGCTGCAGAGTTAAAAAAGAAAATCAAACGTGTGCACCAGTTGAGGATTAAACACAGTTTATTCCTTCGTTTTGGTTTACAAACAAAAGGCACCCATTGATTTATTGTTTTTTTTTGAGTTTCACATTAATAAACGGCGTCTTTGTGAACCTTCGACGCTCGTCGCGCCGCTCAGAGTAGGAGAGAGGAGAGAACAAACAAGAAGGTCGACCCATTAAAAAGAAGCAAACGTCTTTTAGAACTTTGAAAATCAGAAACTGGGAACAAAACCAAATGAAAAGCTTCTTGACTCCTACTCTGACACACGTGACGACGAACACACAGTGAAAACAGACTTTCCTGCTTCATCAGCGGAGCTTCCAGCAGGAAAACGATGACGCGAACACACCATCATCGAAGCGTTTTAGAGTTTAAACTGAGCTTTTAAACACACTGAAGGCCCTGAAAACATGTTTTCTCAACCAGTTCGCTTTGGTTTCATCAGTTAGAAAAAGGCTAATTAGGATCACAGGCCGACACAAATATCAATTATTAGTAATCAAACAGGCCAATAATCAACATATGAGATAAACTTACAGTAAAAATGAAGATCTGTGTGTCAGAAATTTGGAATAACACAAAGTCTCAACACAAAAATTCACCGGAATTCATGATATGCATGTTTGAATTAAAAGAAAACTTTCATCCCTCAGTCAGAGACGGGCATCAGAACCAAAGTAGTGAACCTTTAAACGAGCTTATTTCATCAGGAGCAGGTTAAAACAAATAAATAACAGCGATAATTGATCAGGCTGATAATCGATCGACTCCTAATTTGAATCCAAGTGTTGATGAAATCTGATTAAACCACAGACAAGGAGAAAGCAGAATTTCTTAGGTTTTGAGGACGATATTGTTTTTTTTTTCTCAACTTAAAAAGGAGATTTTGACATTTTTGGTACCATATTTTAGCACGAGCCAGTTAGCTTAGCTTAGCTTAGCTTAGCACAAAGAAACGAGAAGCAGCCTCATATTTAAAGCTCTAAAAATCAACATGCATCTCATCTGGACTTCAACAATCAGCCTGGTTTGATGTTCAGCTTTTGTTTGATTATTAAACTGACTTCTGATTAAATTAAATTAATTTTTTGCCCAACTTTGGTTCTGGTGAATAAAGGCGAAGTTCTGACACGAACCACAACCTAATGTTCCATTTCTGCTCATGCACATGCTCATTTTCTCAGCTACACCAGAATATTATAGTTCTACGTTTAATTAATGTTGGTGTCGATGCAACTGGAACTTATTTTAGATTATCGTGCATGTCTGGAGTGGATGGGTTTTTAGTGTCGATTAAAATTTCGACACCGAATGCAAATATACGGCTCCGAACCCTCCATTAAATCCAAACCATAATGCTTTTATTTAATCTGTGCAAAAGCCTGAATGTAAATCTGCAACTTTTCCTGCCCTATGATCAACGTTTCTGCAGTTTTTCAAGATTTCGTTGCAGAGAATTCAACTAAATAACTGACAAAGAAACATCAACTCATCTTCAAAGATGCTAATTAGCTTTAGCTACCGTTGGAAACCAACCACCAGTTTGTAACCTTTGGTGAAGACACCAGCTGTTAGTTTCACATTTAAAGGACAAGAATGAAAGTGACTGTTCCTCAGACTTTAGTTTCATGTAATGCTCAAAGAAAACATGTTTTCAGGGGCTTTAAAAACCGGATCTTTGTTTCAGTAACTTTTTGGATTCAGAGTCAGAAGTAAGGAGATGCATTCATTCTCCCATCACAAGAACAAAAACCCTGAATGAGACGTTGCTTTTTCGTTTTTCTTTTCCACAACACGACACGAGACAACAGCCGCTCACAATCACAACAACTCAAAGAAACACAGCGAGGACTCGCGGCCCGGCTCGCCCGTGAAACCACGTTCGGTAGCTTCCTGTTTCAGGAAGAACGAAGCGTCCGGCTGCTATTTTACATTCAGAAGAAACAAAAACAAAAAACACACAGAGACGAGCAAATTCTGCCAGTTACACTCAGCTGCACTTTACTTTTTGCTTTTTTTAAAATCATATTTACAGCAGCTGCTTCGGGAAAAGCTCGGCCAAGTAGCATAAAAATACATCCGTCTTCTCAGAGTTCTACCTAAATAGAGCTTTAGACAAAATAATTAGAAAACATAGATCTGGTTGCTCTTCTGTTCACATTGTTAGACAAAAGTTCAGGCACGATTTCAGGGTTTTAGTCGGATCCTGTGCGGGAGCGGCTCATGCTGCGAGGACGAAAACCCCGCTGCAGGCGAACGGGACGCAGAAGTAAGTGCACAGGTAGACCTCAGGTGAGTTAGTGTACGACGCGATTAGTTAGTTCCCAGAAAAAGCCCGGAGAAGCTGCGTCTCGGCTCCGCGAGGAGTCGGTGTAAGTAGACGAACCCTGCAGCTTGTATTTACAGCGAGCCAACAACGCGACGGATTATAAAGCTGCGTCAACGAAACGAGGAAAAGTTAAAGCAGAGGACACGGCGAGCTACAGTCGGTGCTACGAGGAACAAAAAAAACAACAACGCAGGACTCCAGATGGAACGTATTCGAGACAACGAAGCCGAAGCGCGACAGAGTTCGTCCTCGAAACTCGACTCATCTCGAGGTATTTTGGCAAAAAAAAAAAAACCCGTCAGGTGATTTTTATACACGATGAACCCGCAGAAGAAGAAGCTTAATGTTCAAAACCTGCTGATGCAAGAACGTCCAGTTTGTAGGCACTGAGTAAAGCCGCTGTTTTACCGTCGACATACGTTGTGCTTGGTTGGATTTAGGGAACGAACGGCCGCAGAGCAACGGGAGGGTTTTACTGCTGAGGGTAAAGAAGGAAAAAGATGGAACAGAAAACCTCCCAACTGTCATAAACGCTGGCTGAGCTGGTTTTAACCTCAGAGAGAGTTTAAATAATCAAGACGAGCATCTGGAAATAAATCATTCCACATAAATCAACCAAATCTGACCAAAGCTCCCCAGAATCATCGGATTCTTCATCTACAGGATCTTTACTGTATTTATTGAAGCCGTGCAAAGTTTCAAACATCCATCCAGGTGTCACAGTTAAAGACTAAATCTAGTTTTTGTTGAGCGCTCTTGATCTTTTGGACAATTCTTATGTTATTTCAGACAAATCTGACGCCATCGTGGACGATTCTGAAATCGTTCTGGACAGATTTTGAACGATTTTGGACCCAATCTGAGTCACTTTGGGGATTTTTTGAGTCACAAATTTGGTGTCATTTCGATCAAATTCATTTAGTAGAAATTTAGAATCGTTCAACGATTTTTAAATCATGTTTGACCAATTTTGAGCCAATTTTGTCAATTCTTTGATCATTTTTTTGAGTCACTGTTGACTGGATTTTGTCAGTTTTTTATATTTTAAAAAGTATTGGACGATAACACATCCAGGGTACCAGTGATTGGTTCTATGACTCCATGTCATAGACATTAAACTGATCTGGAGTCAGACTGTTCACACTATGAAACATCCCATAATACTGATGCTACCAGCTGCTGACAGAGGAAATGAACCAACAGATTAAGTCCAAAATTGTCTAAAATGACGCAAAAATGATCCAAAATTAAGGTAAAATTTGTTCAGAATGACATTAAAATGGTCTAAAATGACAAAATCTTACTTAAAATCACTCAATAATTGTCCAAAAATGATTTCAAACAGAGCTAAACAGAAACCAGATCCAGTGTTCGGACTGTGACTCCTGGATGGATGTAGAACTGATCTGGTGTCAGGTTCTACCAGAACCCAGACGTGTTCTTCCTCCTAAATGTCATGTGTCTATCTGCTGTACTGATGAAGTTCTGAGGCTCAGAAATGATGGAAAAAGTCCATTAAAAAGTGTGAAATGACTCGATAATTGTTGAAAACGGCTGGAAAAAAAATTTAAAAAATCAACAAAATCCCCCAGAAATGGTTCAAAGTGACGTAGAAGTATCTCAAAGTTACACAGAAATGATTCAGAATGACTCGAAAACTGTTGAAAATGACTGAAATGGTGAAAAAAGGACAAAAAAAAAAATCAAATTCCTCAAAAATGAAATGAAAACTTGTTTTTTTTCCCTCCTAAATGTCATGTGTTTATCGTCTGAGGCTCAGAAATGTTGGAAAAAGTCCATTAAACATTGACAGCATGATGGTAAAACGTCATTAAAAACATTACTGTAGATGAAGAACCAGCTGATTCTGACTTGACTCAGATTTGGTTGATTTTACGTGGACTGACCCAGATGTCAGAAACCAACCAACCCAGCTCACGGTGTGCAGACTTTTTAAAAAAAACGTCCATAAAACCGACAGACTTGAAGGAGGAGGGATAACGTTTCGGGTGACAGCGGAGAAACATTCAGACAAACAGAACGAAGCTCGGACCGGCTGAGGACCGGCCGACCACCGCTGCAGCGTCCGATGCATAGCTGAGTTTTGCGGGCAGACGAGCAGAAAGGAGCGGATCTCGTTGTATGAAATGCAGAGAGATCCCAGATGTGCAGCGTTTGGTGGGATCCAGCTCGTCCTCGTGAACGGTTTCATTCAGCCCTCTGAACACGGGCCGCCCAGCTGCTGCCTCTTGTCGCCTCTCGTCATCCGCCACCAGTGTTTTCCTCCGTCGCCCCGCCGCCGCCGCCGCCTCGTCATTATCTCATGGTGGAGGAAGCTCTGAAGTAGGAGAGGAACTTGAAGCAGAGGCTCACCACAAAGTACCAGATGTTTCTGGCCATCTGCGACCTGGCGATGAAGACCCGCCAGATCAGCACCACCAGGACGGTGTTGAAGCTGTAGCGGATGTTCCTCAGTCTGGGGGTAGAAAGAATATTTTAAAAAATCAGTCATCAAAAGACGAGTTAAATCTGTGCAGCCCAGTTCCTTCATAGAGAGTGTTAAAGGTTTCATTTTTAATTCATGCTCGTTCCTTTTAATTCCTGAGGATCTTCTGTTTCTGCGTGCTGGAACGTTTACACGAGCTTTGTTGGTGCTCAGAGGATTAACGTTTCTGTAAGTGAACCATCTGAAGATAAGCTCTCATTTCTACCAGATGTGAGGGTTTAATGGCAGATTTATCTACAGAACTCTTCTTCCTGTGTCGGTAGGAGGCCGCCGGATTACACGTCTGACAGATGTGACAGATGTGAGTGCAGATGTCTCACTTGTTGAGGTGTTTGCGAGCGGCAGGAAGCCCCGACAGCTCCTCGTTCAGGACGTATTTCTTGGTTCCCATACAGTAGTTCTCCATGTACTCGGCCCAGTGCAGCTGACGCACATCGAAGTTAAAAACCTGCAGGAACAAAACCAGCAAACACCTTCAGTGACCTCCGGCATCAGATTTAATATCAGAGATGTAACTGATTAAGATTTACTACAAACATATTCAAAAGTGTAAAAAAATGTTTATGAGCTGAAAATAGAACTGCAGAAAGCTGAGAAGATAAGCTATGCTACGATATGTTTCAACAAGCTAAGATTAGCTAAGCTAAGACCAGCTACAACAAGTATAGATAAGCTATGCTAAGATAAGCTACAATAAGCTAACATTAGCTAAGCTAAGACAAGCTACAACAAGTATAGATAAGCTACGCTAAGATAAGCTACAATAAGCTAAGACTAGCTGAACTAAGACAAGCTAAAACAAGTGTCAATAAGATAAGATAAGACTGGCTAAGACATGCTAAAATAAGCCAAGATAAAATGAACTAAAATAAGATAGAATAAGCTAAGATTAGCTAATATACGGCAAGCCTCAACAAACATAGATCAGCTAAGCTAAGCTAAGATTGGCTAAGACATGCTAAGATAAGCAAAGATAAAATTTGGTAGAATAAACTAAGCTAAGCCAAAATAGGAAAAGTTAAGATAAGCAAAGCCGAGATAAGCAAAGCTGAGCTAAACTAATCTAAGACTAACCATGATAAGATTAGCCAAGCCAAAATAAAGCTAAGATAAGCAAGGTCGATAAAATAGAGATAAAATAAGCCAAGATAAACTAAGTCAAACCAAGATAACAAAAGATAAACAACATGTGTGGAAAGATAAATGCAAAAAGAGCCATGAAATGACAAAAACGAGACACTGAATGACACAACCAACACAGACAACAGGAAAGACAAGACGCTAAATTATTAAATCAACACATGGAACAGTAGAAACGACAACAAGACTCAAAATGACTTGAATGAAAAAGTCTGGAGAAGCGGGAAACAAGGAAATAGTTAAATATCTGTAGTATGTAGAGTCACAATTTTACCAAAAAACACCAAGAAACTGCTTAGAATTCAGACAACGTACTCGTATAATGTGCTGAATTGGATTCCTTTTGTGGAACTAAGCTTCTGTAAAGACTCATACTGGAGTCCACCAACGCGCCTTTCAGAGACGCTGCTGAACGACGTCTTTGTTCGCTACACACCGACGTCAGCACAATGAATGTGTGCAGTAACCGGCCTCCTATCAGACATTAACTCAGTCAGTCTGCTGCCGCCACACTGTGTAACGTCTGGCCCACGTTCACATACCTTCTTGTCCTCGGGGCTCATCTGGGCCAGCAGCATGGCCACGTTGTCGGTGTTCCACACCCAGGAGTGGCTGGTGAAGTACTCCAGCACCATCATGGCTTTGTGGAGGCGGCTGATCGTCTTCATCATCCTGCGACGGCCGGCAGAGGAGGAGGGAGGATGATGATGAGGAGGTAGGAGGAGGAGGTAGGAGGAAGAAGAGGCAGGATTGGAATAGATGACAGTGACGAAGAAGAAGGAGAAGGTGCCTCAAAAACAAATATCAGTCATTCAACAAAAATGAATGCAAAACCATTCCACACGATCAAATAGTTTAGCTTCAGCATTAAGCAACAGGTTCGACCAGCTGAATACAGCATAAACAAACACTATCAATCCTGTTGTCTTGAGTTGAATCACCTCTAATAAAGTACTCAACACAAAACCTAAAGTTGCACCAACAGAGTCCATAATGCTGAAATAAGCTATTTAATTGTGTAGAAATGCTCTCTGTGTTTTTTTTAAAGGTGTTTTTTTTTGGACTGCAAATTAGATTGACTGAATCCAATTCATGTTAAGTTGTTGCATATCGTGCAAATACTACGCTGTCTAATCGTGTTCATCTCGGGAAACATGAACAAAGTGTGCGTCAGGCAGTCACTTTCCTTTTTGGAGAGCAGAGGTTGAACCATCTGAAAGAAATATTTAACTACCAAGACCAACATGGTTAAATGTACTCTTCCAATTTAATATTTAACGCTGCAAGATGTGCACATGACATGTCGGCCACGTCTTCTTTCACTTTAAGCCGTGAGAATGACTTCAATCAGCTCAACAGATTCGATGAAGCAGATTTTGATTCCAAAGAGGTGATGGTTTGAGCTGTACAGTGCTGCGAGTCGATGGAAACCACAAACCACGTCAATGTTGTCGCTGTCCTGTGAAAAACCTCCAAAATATCTTTACAGATTTGTGACTGATGATGAATTTATCAGCTAATACAATTATATCCAAGGGCCGCTTTTTAAAACGTAGGACGCCAGAATGTCTCTGGACATACCTGGACAGACCTACAACCAAACAACTGAGAGTTCATGTTGGCAGCAGAGAGCATTGTGGGAGTTTAACTAGCAACGGGACCACGAGAAAGACTCTGAGGAGGTTGATGAGCTCAAGACTTAAGACCAAACTGATGAGTTAAACTTGCAGAGGCCATGTTCCACATTGGTGTCAACGACGTAAAAGTATACATGCCGACATAACAACCCTATCGTTCTACTTCCTCCATAGACCTGGAGTTACGTTTAGTAAGTACTATTTGTTGATGTTTTGGTGCATTCTGAGTTCACGTAGAAATATCTGCCATGAGTTCCTGCAGTGGAAATCCACCTATTATCAACCTTCCTACAGAGTCTGATAGCCCCTAATAGCTAGTGAT